GATCGGCGACCTAAGTCCGGACCCTTCTGAGCTGCTTGCTAAAGAGGTTGTGGGTTGGAGTTCTTCCATCACATCTGGTCTGTCACTCCCCAGACAATACCAGCAGAACCTGCTGAAGACGAAGCTGAGTTTATTGCTTACTTGGGTCAGGGAGACTGCTGCCTCCAAAGCTTTGGCAGTGTCTTGGCATGAGGGAGTTAAAGTCAGAATCTGTAGAGAATTTTGTTTATAAAGACAGTAAGGCATGGCTTTGGCTCTCAGTGTGGGAATAGATAGCCTTCTTTCTCTCTTTTCAGTTGGACTGTATCTTCTCTGCCTCCCTTAGACACCAGTTGTCCTGCATTGAAGGTTGCCTTAATAGATGAAATAGCCATGTGAAATTCATCGTGGTGTTTTCACGGAGCAAGTTTTCAGAGCGGTGCATCATATTCCATCGTAGAGCGAATACTCTCTGTTCTCCCCAGATGTCTCTCAGAGGCGTCTAAGAATCCTTGGAGTTTGACCTTGTTTGGTCCTGTTGATGGTAGAAGGACACTTTCTCTGACCCAAATCAGTTAACGAAGTTTATGTGTCTGAGCATGGTAACATCAACTATCCTTTCTTCTGCTAGTACCAGGAGACTCGGAGCTGATGGGGAGAAGTCACTGAGGAGGAGAAGCAGTGTTAGCTCTGGTGAGTAGCTGCAATGTAGGTTTTGTCCTCACTGAGCGGGGAGTGCGGGTGGCTCCAGAATGTCTGTGAAGTGGATGTTTTTGTGCAGTTGTGTTTGCATGAGGAGCATGCCCTCTTTTTTTACTGTATGTATCTTCCAAGTAACTTGCAGGTATATTACCCTCAAAACCATGATGGAGCATCTACAAGTGCCTGAATGGAGGTTTCCTGCAGAGATAGTAATTATTCAAGGCATGAAAATTTCCCTAATAATAAACCCAGATCAGAGTTCAAAGCAAAAAGATTCCCAAGCAACGAGAGTATTATCTTAGTGAACAATGCGTTTAATCCCACAGATATATCCCAGGATACATCTTTCCTGGGGCTGTGACATTTTTATCCTGCTCAGTGTATTCATCTTCTCCTTT